TCATTTGTTACATCTTGATGATCATTTGTTACATCTTGATGATCATTTGAATCATATTCACGTTTTTTACGCTTTGCAATATTATTATTCCTATGAAAAAGACAACAAAGAAGACTTTTTTTTGTTCTAAAAGACAACATTTTTTAAACGAACTTGCTACGTTTCGATGGTTTTGATTTATCGGAATCATCATCATTGGAACTACAAGTAAAAAAAAATAATATAAAGATAATTTGAAATATCAAATAAATTACTCAGATGGTTTTTCATCATCATATGTGTCATCGTCATCGTCTTCATCGTCATCATCAAAATCTTTTTTGTTACCATTTTTGCTTCCCCTAATATAAACATGAAAGAATTGTTTTGTAGAAACAAAAATATTTCTTAATTAAATAGAATTATTTATTGTTTTTTATACCTATTATAACCGTTAGAGAATGGAAATGATTGAGATAAACCACTATAGAAATTGGAAGAAGATGGAAATCCACTACCGAAGCTACAAAGAAATATAATTCATTGTTTTTGATAGTATTCTTTGATATTTTTTTTAATATAATTGAAATAATATAAACTATTTTATGAATAACTTGTATAAACAACGGTCTTACCCGAGATCAAAACCAAATGGATGACCAAATGAGGGTTTGAAGCCAAATGGTTGACCGAAAGATCCACTGAAAAGTGCTGAGGGTGTGCCCATAGATCCTAAAGATGCGCCAGCAGATCCTGAAGGTTCGTCGAAAGGTCCAAACCATGGAGCACCAAATATAGGTGGCGGACCAGGAACTATGCGTAAATTAAGTGAAAAATAAGATGAGATACAATTTAAAAAAAACTTACTGAATGTAGCTGGTATACTCATAGGAAGAGGTGGAAGTAATGGTCCGTCAAGTGGTATTGGAAGAGATGGAAGAATGGGAGGTATAAAAGATGGAAGTGAAGGTGTTGAACGAGGTGTTGGTGATGTTTGAAATGTTTGATATGTTAGAAATGTTGGTTGCATGATTGGTGATGGTGGAGACATTGGTTGTGATACTGTTGGTTGTGGAAACATTGCTTGAGACACGGTTCGTTGAGGAAACATTAGTTGAGACACAGTTGCTTGTGGAAAGATTGTTTGAGACACTGTTGGTTGTGGAAACATTAGTTGAGGTGCTGATGATTGTGGAAACATTGATTGAGGAACTGATGGTTGTGGAAACATTGATTGAGATGTAGATGATTGTGGAAACATCGATTGAAATGTAGATGGTTGTGGAAACATTGATTGAAATGTAGATGGTTGTGGAAACATTGATTGAAATGTAGATGATTGTTGAAACATTGGTTGAAGCATTGGTGATGGAGCGACTTGTGATGGAAGCCTACAAAGTAAAGAAAAGAAATACATATAGTAAGGTTAAAAATTTATGACATACGACATGGGTGCAAAGAGAGGAAACATTGAAGGAAACATTCGTGATGCCATTGGAGGAACCATTCCTGGAGCAGTCGAAGGAGGAGATGGTGGACTAAAAATAAATAGATAAATATACATCTGAATCAATATGTTAGAAATAGCCTACGGAGTTGGTGGTGGAACAAGTGGACCTGCAATTCCAATAGGACCGGTAAAACCCGGTAACGGAACAACACCTGGAACAGATGGACCTAAGAGAAAAATACAAGTTAGAGATAAAACTAAATTCAATATCAAATAAAACAACAGAATCACTTACCTAAGGGTACATCCAATTTAGTTAGAGACGGGAATGGATTACCATGTCTGAATAGTTTCTTGCGTTCAATTGTCGAACGTTTTTTTCGTCCATATGAATAAGATGATCCACTTTGATAGTTGTTGTTACTATAGGATGAAGAACCATAACTGTTATCATCAGCTGAATAAGGAGCTGTTGGCCAATCACAAACATTTATGAGTGCATTCCAAACAAGCTCAGGTGGACATGGCTTAACAAACATGTGTTCAAATGAACACTGAATGTAACAATGTGGATAACCAGGTAATGGATAATATTGTAGACTATTGAGTGTACATGGATTTTTCGGTGGTTCTAGAATAATAATAGAAAAAACAGAATCATAATGAGTTTCAATGATTCAAAAAATCTTACGAGGTCCGCATTTAGATAGATCAAGTTTTTCTGGATAATAGTTAAGATATTCGCCTGTTGCTTGAAGACCATAAGGTAGACCAGTTAATTCAAGTGCATCAGTTGCGCCATAACTACCACTTTTGCCGTGTGATGAACCATCATAACTACCACTGCTACCATAAGATGTTGATCCAACAGACTTCATGGCATTGCCAAATGCTGATGACCTACCACCATACTTATCATTGTTTCCAAGAGATGATAACTCACCAGATTTCATACTACTACCATATAATGATTCACCACCGTACGATGTTGATCCAACAGGCATCATGCCATTGCCATATGACGAGGATGATTCAGCAGATTTGGTAGTATCACCAGAGGATGATGCACCACCATTACCATAAGATGACGAGCCAACAGGTTTCATACTATTACCAAATGATGATTTACTACCATACGATGTTGATCCAGCAGACATCATACCATTGCCATATGACGAGGATGATTCAGTAGGTTTGGTAGTATCACCAGAGGATGATGCACCACCATTACCATAAGATGACGAGCCAACAGGTTTCATACTATTACTAAATGATGATTCACCACCATACGATGTTGATCCAGCAGGCATCATACCATTGCCATATGATGATGACGATGATCCACTAGGCATCATGTTGTTGCCATATGATGATGATGATCCACTAGGCATCATGTTGTTGCCATATGACGATAATGATCCACCAGACATCATATTGTTGCCATATGATGATGACGATGATCCACCAGGCATCATGTTATTGCCATATGATGATGATGATCCACCAGACATCATATTGTTGCCATATAATGATGATGATCCACCAGGCATCATGTTGTTACCATTTGATGATGCCGATGATGATCCACCAGGCATCATGTTGTTGCCATATGATGATGACGATGATCCACCAGGCATCATGTTATTTCCATA